ATTCAATACGTATACCGAAAAATATCAAAACATGCTGGCCCAATGAATGTAGGAAAGTGATAATGCAAAATTATGCAACCAGCCAACCGCCTTGGCATATCCGCCCCTCCCTAGGCCCCTCCTCAACAACCAAAACAAACATGCTGGTGCTGGTGCTGAACTGTACTTTGTTTGCAGCTTACCCGTTTTGTGCCTTCTGGATGTATAGGTTTATGATCAATCTTTGATCTCACTGACAACTGAATATGATGTGGGTCTTCATGGTTGGATTCAGTTGTGTTACTCGCCATTTTTGCTTAAATTTGCAACAAATTAAGTAAATCAATACCATGCAGCATACAAAAACAGCACATAGGCCTAGGCTAGCCTTCAAGAGAATGGAGAGACTTCGAGATGGTAGCCTTCTTACATGTCATGTCACTGCGCATGACCGGTTTACGTACCCAATAAACGCAAAGTGAAAACCGGAACAGAGGGCCAGTTCTATTCTCTCATTGGTGGAAAGTAAAAATCTTAATACAAAGACCGGAGAAAATAGATTCACCCAATACCTAGGCCTAATACCATTAGGATTTTCTATTGAAATACACCAATAGGCCTATTTATTACAATCATAGAGTATAACGATGTTGTTTGTGGTATAAAGTAGAAACTATTACGGCACCTATTTAAAGATAGGCCTACTCTCTGAGTGACGAGCTAAATTTTTTAAAAGTTAATTTCCATACTTTTATAATATCCAATCACCCAATCCAAGCTTTGACTTTCAATTGAAAATTACAATTTAAATAAATTGCGCTCCATTATGTACGTAGGCTATAAGTTATAGAATTATTATTTTGAATAGAGTACCCTCTAAACGCAAACGAGTGAAACAAGAGTGAAAGACTAAGAGTGACTACAGGGACCACTCCTGATGGAGTGAAATAGAAAGAGTGAGATTTCACTCTATTCAGAGTGAATTTTAGTAATTTTTCACTATTTTAAGAATAATATTCACTCATTTAAGAGTGAATTTTCACTCGAGAAAGAGTGAAATTAGATTGGTCCCTGTAGACACTCTTTTCGAGTGAAAATTCACTCTGTTACATCAAGAGAGTAATAGGTTTAATCAATTTAGGAATTTCCGTATATATAAACTGAAAATTCCTAGAACTGAATGTTTGACAATTTAATTTAAATTTTAAAACTTTCTAGTCCTTTCAAAAGAGCAATTATATTTTTTAATTTAGTTTTTGGGGATTTTTTTTCAGATTTACCACGGATTGTATATCTAAAAGGAATTCTCCCCGGCCTGTACATGCCTTGTTGATATAAATTTATGATATTAGGGATGTTTTGCAAGCTTTTACAGCAACGCCAGCGAATACGGTTGCATCATCAATATGATAGGCCTATCATATATAGGCCTATACATAATGTAACTAATTTGTATATCGTGTTTTTCCACCAAATTGCAATTTAATGTTCGCGAGGTATAGTCTTACTATGAGAAACAAAATTAATATACGGAGAAGCGAAGATGTGAGCACGATACCGTAATAAGCGCCGTGGCACTTACTTTTGGAGGCTTACAGTGCGGCGCTTATACGGGAGCGACGCTTTATTTAAGGTGGTAAACACCCGTAAAACATCGAATAAAAGACCTGGTCTTCCCATTTTTTTTTTTGCGAACTTCGGATGGGCGTCTTTTTGAGATGGGCTTCTTTTCGAAGCTACTTTTGCAAAATAATGGGGGCTTCTTTTAAATGAATGCTGTAAATCACCCAGTAGTTCGGTATACCTATTATAGGCCCTACATCATAAACGTTTATAAAGATATGTCTTCATTGTGGTATTTATTCATTTGAACACTGTATATTTAAATTCATGTTTCTCACTGTTTCATTACACACAGGGATATGCACTCGATAAAGCGTGCTTATTCGAGAGCGGCGCTTAGCGAAAAAAATCACGTTTGGTGCGGTGCTTATTCAAGGAATTACGGTATTCATTATTGTTTTTAATATGCAGTACCCACACTAATACGCTAAAGTATGACCATGGACGTGACCTAAATAAATATTTATTACAATCAATCTGTTTTGTTTTATTTCATAGTTCCATTGTTCGACTTAAGTAGTTTTATTTTCCTCATCACTTCCTGTCGGATATGATCCATTTCTATATCTGAATAATAATAGTTTCATGGTGCAACAAACGGTCTATTGTGCTTATTAGCATTTTGTAGTTTTAATTAGTAGTTTGCTATATAGAGTGACCATGATAGTATGGGTGGCGCCAACGGGGGTCCGATATCATTGACAGGAGATGGAGGCGATGTCACTGACGATAGAGGAAGTGGGTGTGGTTGGGAGACGGGTGGTTACTGGTATCATTTTTTTTGTGTGACAAATATTTGTGATTTCCACATTATTATGGATGGGATATGACATCACGTGCCATATATGGCCAATAATGACAAGATACGTTTTTTTTCCTATCAACTTAAACTGATTTTCTTGATATGGAGGCGATGTCCCTGACGATAAAGAAGTGGGCGTGGTCGGGTGACGGATGGTCACTATGGTACCATGTTTTTTGTGATTTGCACATTATTATGAATGTGATATGATACCATATGCCATATATCGGCCAATAATTACACTCGATACGTTTTTTTTTTTTCTATCAACCTAAAGTGATTTTCTTGATTTCGTGTGCAACAGTATAATGTATCATCAAATTCGATGCTTTGTATTAATAATAAATCTAACAAGATTTGTAGCAATTTGCCCAAATGGCGTCAACAACGTCATCAAACCGGATAAATGTAAATTATCTTAGGTTCTTATGGAAGTACAGTATTCTAGGTCCTCGTTTATCCCGTATAATAATCACATCAACACAGTTTTGGTATGGTACCATAATTTTACAATAATTAATGAGGAGAAATTAATTATAGCTAAAGCAAAGGAATCTCACTGCTCCTATATATTCTTGTTTCTTACATTATATCGTACATAAAAGAATTTAACATACAAAGTGAACTCCTTATTTTTGTGTTAGAAGAAGACTAATAATTTAATTGTTTTTACTAGCATTTAAATCCTACAATAATTTGCCATACATTATCGATTGACATTGTTGGTTAAACATGTTTTATATATTTCTATTTCATCTATTTAACGTGTTTGTAGCAAACTACTTCGAGAACATTGATAACAATTATACTCAGTTGTACAACATATAAAAATGTTTTTTTCCTCCGGAGTCTGGATTTAAAGGATTAAATGGCTGCCAAACTTGTCTGCTAAGATTTTCAAGACCAGTTTAACTAATACAGTAGATGCAAAAACAAGTTTTACATATCAACATCAATTTTATTTTAATAAAGAGCAGATTTGAATTTCAAGTGAATATGCTTAAGCCAGTCTCACACACTGCGATTTTCCATAACATTATGTACTGCTATGTCTAAAGCACTGTGCGAACATTTATCAGCTAATGCAATTTCATGGGAGAACGCAACGTGATGAGGCCACCACAAAGCACATACAACAGATAGTTACAATAACAATTCGCTCGGTCTGCCATCAACAATCAATCGTCAAATGGTCCCAAGGAGCGTACAGATGCTTCTGTCCACAGTTGTACGATGTTGTGAACGCTCTGCTTTATACAGAGTTGCTTCAAATGTTTTCCACAATAATGTGGAAACATGAACCGGATTTTTTTACAAATGATGTACCAGTATGTGAGAGGCTGTAACGACAACTTATACTAAGCAAAATCGCAGAGTACGAGACCAGCTTTTTAATACTTGTGCGCAAAAAGGTAAAAAAGCAATCACTCAATGAAAGCTCAAAAGTATAAAAACAGCAAATGCAAATAACAAGAGCTTACTGAGTACTTAAGACATCATCAATGATATTCAATATAAAAAGCCTTATTTACATATTACAAACTGTAAAATATTTATATATATTTTACCTATAAAATACATTAATTTAAGTGTTAGCTGCAGTTTACAGGAGGCAAGTCCGATTTCATCATTGGGGGATGGGGTGAAAAATGGTGAATGCAGACCTACATCTCTGTACTGGTGGGATAACAAAAATGAGAAATGAATCACCGTTGATATAACGAGGATATGGCAACCATCAAAGGAATAAGGGAAAGCAGGGTGTATAGGATTTCCAACAGGCCAAGAAGGATGAATGTAGGCCTGCGTGACTGTACTAGCCTGACCTCACAAGAGCTTCAAACTTTAGACTTTAGTGCCAAACCACACCCTAGAATTGTCATAAGAATACTAGAGTGCATTCAATGTTCTGAAAATGTGGAGCTATGTATTGGTATTCAGCAAGGTGGCTTCTGCAGATTCAGCTACTCTAAGTAAGCTTATATCATAATGTGGCAAAGACTAGCCAAACCAATCACTCCTTGCAAAAAAAAAGAAATTGATTTTTAGTTATTAATACATGGTTAAGCAGTAAAATGAAAGCTATAAAATGGTAAAAAATAATGTAAATTCTTCATTTCTTTATGTAGTTACAGGAATTTAAACATATAGCTGTTTAGACAACAGTATTTGAGAAATCAGCCTTCAGAGTTTAAATTTTTTAAATGTTTACATTCCAAAATGTTTTGGCCATTATTTCTGAAACACGATTTGCAACGAGTGACTGGATATGTAGCCTCAATTTAATTATATGAAAGGTTCGAATACAGATTGTACACTTGAGCACCATGTGAAGAATATGAATTTATATGAGCAGTACACTATTGCTATGAGTTACTTTTCTTGGCTTTATTCTATCTAGGTTAATAGAAAAATTATTATTAAGTATAATCATTAATTAAAATCATAATTAATATTATTAATAAATAAATAAATATTAATAAATAGTAATAGTAGCTAAAAAAATGAACAAGCAAAGTAGAGAAACAAATGGAGGCTACTTGAAAAGGGCTACAACCGATGGTAGGTGACAGCAGTTGTACCCTACATATACATAGGCCTCATGGTGGCACTCTTCCTATAGCAGCCAGCTCAGAAAATATACAATTCTGCATTGTTTCATATGCACAGTTTACACTCTAGTGATTACTATATAATAACGCGAAGCAATCAATTGACCAATTCAATGTGTAAACAAATTTTAGTCAAGTACTACCTATTATATGAATTTAATTGGTTAATACCAGTCAAATTAAAAATCAATCCTTATTAATTATAAATTCTTAGACACAGCAAAAATAGATATAATTTCTTATAAAAGTATATTGTAACTGAATTCAATTATAGGATTTCCTCATTTTGGACAATATACATACTATATATCATTGTACAATGCTTTGGGGACTTGACCATTCAGCATGAAATAGATATAATTTATATAATAGTATATCATAAACTGAATTTAACTATATAATTTTTTTTTATTTTGGACATACTGTGATAACTATACAATGCTTTGGGACTGTTCCATTCAGTATGAAAAGATATAATTTCATATAAAAATATATTATAACTGAATTTAACTATAGAATTTTCTCTTTTGTTTTGGACAATTTTCAAATTGTATATTATTGTATATTATTGTATAATTCTTTGGGGACTGTTCCTGTCAATATGAGTAGATATAACTTCATATAAAAGTATTTCATAACTGAATTTAACTATACAATTTTCTTTTTTTGACAATTTATACTGTATATTATTGTACTATGTTCTGGGGACTGTTCTTTTCAGCATGAATAGATGTAATTTCATATAAAAGTATATTATAACTGAATTTAATTATATGATTTCCTGTTTTGGACAATTTACATACTGTGATAATGTTTCGTATTCGATTGGGACTTACTCGCTGACTATGTTACTCAACGAAAAGTTAGCATTATTTAACCAAAGGAATACAAAAAGTACTTAACAAATTTTCTGTTGAGTATGAAAGTTCCCATTCGAATACGACAATTGTACAATACTCTGAGGACTGTTCTGTTCAATGGATTTGGCCAATATTAGTTCAATACAAGGTTTTGTGCATTGTTTCTATCAATGCATCTGTCCATTCTTGTCTTTGGGTGTCTTCAAAACATCGGAAATTTCCTTCAGTGTGTCGGCCATGTTGTTTTCTACTTCAACTTCATCTCTTAGAACCTTCAGTAACTACAAAAATAAGTACAATTAATATATTAATCAAGATAATTTTTATATTAAAGAATGCCCATTCTGCAATACAGGGATTTCTTTAAAAAAAAAATTATAATTTCTTAAAATACATTTTGTTACAAAATTGGAGAAGAATCATATAAATTAAAAAATATACATAAAAATGGAATTGTTCACAAATTATACAAAAAAATCACTCTTATTGTGCATAATTTGTTACTGTGTAGCACTGTTGACTGCTTGCATCACTGTCTTTAAATTTTTGTATTAATACTATCTTAGATAATAATACTAGTATTATGATATTATGACTTATTGTTATAATTATCAATTATTGTTGCTGTCATAGTTTCTTTTATCGTCATTAATATAATCCTTATAATTCACAATTAGCAACATTATTTTACTTTATTCAATATTCAAAATATTTATCATAACACAATAAATATTTGTGGCCAGGTAGCTTTTGAGAAAGGAACATAAAAATAAGGAAGTAAACAGTAGTATTATCTTGTACATATTTTGCTTACCTTTGCTTTGTGTTCTTCAGCATAGGAATACAGGTGATAAAGTGTGCTGGATTTACTAAACAAACCACTAAAATTCTGAATGAAAAAATAGTTACATGAAATAATAATATATATATATTCCATTATCTTCCTATCCACTCACTCCTGAAGATTGCTACTGCATGAAACATCTGTAGAGTATGTAGAGTAAATTCATGCTAGCTGAAATGCAATTGGTATCAAAAGCACACCATCTTTTGGAAAAGACGTTTAAACCATTGGTTATGTATGCAAAATGGCCCATGTGCATGTTAAAGAAACGCAGTACACTCTTCGCAAAAGAGTAGGGGATTGTCTCCCTGTGTACTGCCAAATTCACCACCAGAAGTACCCCACCGGGAATAAGTCTCAAGTCTTTCACAAGTTAGCCTTGGTGTGTATCCAATCCCAATCCAACCCAATCCAAGCCTACCTCTAAAACTAATTACCTGGCAAGCAATGTCAAGCTCCTCTACCAGTTCCTTGCGATTGCAATCAGGCATGTTGCTAACACTGGAATAGAAACTATCCACAAGTTTACGGTAACTTTCAATCTCCTTCGTGTACAGTAAGCGATTTACTGGCGATTCCTGTAAAGAAAATGTAAATAAAATATTAACAAATATCTACACAAGTGTCACATATATTTTCATATTATAAAACTTTCTTTGACAAAAAACTATTTTTTGTCCAAATATAGTCATGTTTTGCCTATATATGAACATGTGATGTCATCATGACCATATTTAGGCATATCACATGTTTTTGTCAAATAAAATTTTATAGTCTGGACAGAACTTTATGGTGCATTGAAAGTTTTTGATCTTTGATGATTAAGGCCTGTAGTAGCACTTTCACACATGACAGCCAGATTTTGGTGTTACCAGTTAGATAGAGGGCAACTTCGGGTAAACACAGCATAATAATGTTGTAATGATCATGATGATTATAATGATAATAGTGCAGATGATGATAAAGATGATGATAAGAATGATAAAAGTAATGATTATGATGTAGGATGATGATAATAACGATGATGCATATGATGATGATGGATAGTGATACTGATGATGAACTTAACGATGATGCAATAATACATACTTTTAAGCATGTAAGTTTGAACTATGCAAATATGAACACAAATCTATCACCTTTTAGTAAAATAATCCACCAACTACAATAGTATATTACAGACAATGTCAATTATAAAATCTTACCTTGGTAAATTTGATCTTGACGGCCGAACATGAGTCCAAAAATGTACGAGAAATGATATCAAGCGCAACCTCTACAGGCCTCATTTGAGCAATATCGAAGATGAAATTAGGATGGGTAATCACTGGCACCCAAAAACGTGCAAGAAAGCTGCCAAAGAAACAAATAATAGGTCAAAATTATTCTAAATATTTATGCTTATGCTTTGATATTTAGCATGGAAACTTGGGTCTAGATGCAAATAAAATATGTATAAACTTACTTTGATGAAAGTAGAACTATTTCCCCCCCACCTCCTTTTTATTACCTTTGTCAAAACTATCATATTTTATGTGACATATGTGTGTGATGTGCCCATATTTCGGCATGATTGATGTCATATTACACCCAAATACGGGCATATTAAACAGACATTCAAAAATCATATTTGTAGTCTTAGCTTAAATAAATTTATTAACTAAAATTACTTAACTGGGCATTAGGCCAAATTAAAAAAATTAATGTGTTGGCCACGTTCGACCGACCCAAAATGTAAGAAATTGAGGTTCAACATTTTCGGTTTTTTTTTTTTTTTAATTTCACTACAACGAAAATTTTTTTTTTTATTTAGCCTTAGTAAATATTGACAGAAATGTACTGCAATTCAAAAAATTATATATTCAACCATTGTTAAATTAACAATACAATATATATGGCTTCTAGAATGTCTGCTACTCTATTTACAATCTATTATCAACACAATTTATAAATACAATTTTCTCTTACCTGTGATTCTTCCACGTCTTCAGAATACTGCTGTCAACCTCATGCTTCCCTCCTTCCTTGTCAAACAGGTCAAATAGGTACTTGATAGCAAGGGGCACCTTGTGAGTGTTATTTGGAGTCTTCACAATAGCTTTGAACATGTCATCCACATACCTCTGAATTGTTTCCTGGTAAATAGTATTAATAAATGAATTAATGAATGAATGAATGACTGATTACAATTAATGAAGGAATGACAGATACTGTAGATTAATGAAATAAACAAATGATGATGATAATAATTATAATGAACTAATGACGATAGCAATGAAAAAATTATTGATAACATTGATGGAACCTGCAGGGGGAGAAAGGTAATTCTTAGAAAAAAAATGGCGGTGTTATACACAAGCAGAATCAGCAGTGGCTCCAGAAATTTGCCTGATGGGGGTTCTGAATGAAGGAGCCAACTAGAGACTTGCCCATAAATTGAATACAAAGACCTAAAATTTAGGTTAAGGTTTAAAATTCATTATAGCTGGAAAAGTGGGCTTTTGAAACACCATGCAAATATTTTGGGCTCCTTATTTTTTTAGATTTTACTTGGTCAGGCTTGGGAAACAAAGTTTTTTTTTTTTAAAGCTTTACCAATGTGTAGAATTTGCTAATTATTAATTATTCTTGGTCAATACAAAACAATACTTTATTTGAAAAACCACGCCTGTCCATTGGCAGCACAGGTCATGCGTAGCATAGAAACGGTGCTTTCATAAAAGGAAACAATTTAAAATAAATAATATATACAGATTCACAGCAATGTACAAGATGTGAAATTTAAATTCTTAAAACTTGATAGATCTTCATGAACATTCACCTTTGTGGACACCAGTCTTGGAAAGTGAACTTCTTTAATCATTTTCTTTCTCTTGTACTGGATGGTTTGACCTCGTTTGAATTCTTTTCGAACCTCAGACCTCAGGTCTCTTGGAGCAGCTGAATCATCATCTTTCACCTTTCATAGGAAAGCAAACTTTTTATTAAAAATATAGAGATAGTAATTATAGTACAGCAGCTGTCTCTTATACACATCTAGATGTGTATAAGAGACAGCGATAGCACTGCGCCTACCCCATAAGGTGATGCATCGCAACTGAGTATCAGTGGCAACGTTGGGTTATAATGCACAATGACTTGTGATGATTGCAACATTTTCTTTGACATTTTGGCAGCACAGGTCACGTGTAGCATAGAAACGGTGCTTTCATAAAAGGAAACAATTTAAAATAAATAATATATACAGATTCACAGCAATGTACAAGATGTGAAATTTAAATTCTTAAAACTTGATAGATCTTCATGAACATTCACCTTTGTGGACACCAGTCTTGGAAAGTGAACTTCTTTAATCATTTTCTTTCTCTTGTACTGGATGGTTTGACCTCGTTTGAATTCTTTTCGAACCTCAGACCTCAGGTCTCTTGGAGCAGCTGAATCATCATCTTTCACCTTTCATAGGAAAGCAAACTTTTTATTAAAAATATAGAGATAGTAATTATAGTACAGCAGAAACCCTCAATTAAGAACCCTGATTCTACAAATCCCCAATTTTATGAATGCAACATATTTAAAGGGATGTCAAAAATGTAGTCAGCTACCTTTGTAAATCTATAGAATTGGCTCTAGTTTTGTTAGTTTCCTTATGTAATAAATAAATATTGAATTTGTTCTTTTTTTGTTTCTTTTTAATGATTTATTTATTATTTTTTTGTTTTAGATTGATCTTACCAAGTGATAGTAGGAAATTCCTTCTTCAGGCTGAAAGTCAAACTGGATTTCAGTCAACACAACATTTTGGTATCCTAAATGGTAAAAATTTTAAATTTGGCAAGATTGTAGCTTCATAATTGTTAATATTTTTTACCTTCATAGTGGCAACAACATTTAAATTAGCCTTACAATTTGCTGCCCTCAGATTTAAAATAACTTTTGAATTTGCTGCCCTCACAGTGAAAACAATTTTGGAATTTGCTGCTCTCACAATGAAAACAACTTTTGAACAAAGATCTTAAAAACATAAGGCAGCATTCTCTGCCATTTATGAGTAACAAATAGAAGCGTCGATTTGGCAGAGAAGTAATCACTTTTGGGAGAGCGTGTCCTAGTTGTTGCCATGATCTGAGATGGCTCCGTACACGTGGTTGATACTTTCTAGTTTATACTACGGTGGTACGGTTGATACAGAATTGGTCAAAGTTCAAAAGTAATCACTTTGTAAGAGGGTGCTGTACACTGCATTATAACCGAATTTGCATGCAACAATCGCAGAGAACGCTATCTTGTAATTATAAGATCTTTAAGATAGTATAATACATACTCATCGAAATGCATGCTATCGTGTCGAGATTCAATATTTTGACATTAATTATGTCATCATCAGCAGGAATAAGATCTTTGGTTTGTATCAAAGATGTTATAAACACAAGATAGTGTTCTCTTTTACGCGCAACAAATAGAAGCGTCGATTTGGCAGAAAAATAATCACTTTTTGGAGAGGGCATCCTAGTTGTTGCCATGGATCTGAAATAAGGTGTTCGTGTCATGCCAAAGTTCGTTGCCAAGTACATTAATTGTTCCTTAATTGTTATAATGAGTGGGCACATTGTAAATTGACACTTCTATTGTTTTGTGTAAATGTAAAGTTGTGCGGTGTACGCTATGGTTAAAGCGATCAAAGTTTAAAAGTAATCACTTTTGCAAGAGGGGACGTACACTGCATTATTACAGAATTTGCACGTGGAAAAATTGCAGAGAATTTTTTCAATTTCAATTTATTTATTTGGGTACAACATGAGAAAAACTTACAAGCACAAAGGCCAACATAACTGAGAACGCTATCTTGTGTTTATAAGATCTTTGCTTTTGCTGCCTTCACAGTGAAAATGACTTTTGAATTTGCTGTCCTCACTATGAAAACAACTGTAATTTCCTTTCATACAAAGAATGTCATATTGTTATAGTTCTTTAATTTTGTTAATATACCAAGATGATTTTTTTCCCAATAGCGCTAGATGATACATAATTACTACAATTAATCTACCAATATACACTGACTTGACCAATGGCAATTACCTTGTCCTTTAGAAAAATATGGAGACGTTGGACTAACAACATCACCTTGTACATCAACATTCACAACACTCTTCCTAGCAATCAATGCCACCACAGATCGATTTTGAACCTAAGAAAAATGAATAAAATTACTCCTCAATTTATTGTTTGTTAATGTTTCTATTGACTGATTGATTGGTGTAATAATAATGTGTACACCACACACCACATAGATAATTCTGAAAAAGAACTGTTCTTGTTGTTGAGAATGAATAATAATAAAATAATTAAGAAGATGAGAGTAGCAGTGGAGTACCTAGTCTTAAAATGGAGGGCATGTGGCGGATCGATGATTACGTGAGGGGTAATAGCTCGCTAAATAAGGTGATTTTTAACTACTTGAGCATAATTTTTCCATTAGGGGGAAAATGGGAAGTGCGAGTATTTATTGGGGGCTGCACACCCTAGATACGCCACTGAACAGTAGTGATGATGAGAACAACAATAATTATAACATTAAACATATGTTTTTTGACGTAGTCATATGTATTAGTTTCATTGTGTTTTACAAAATTTATAACAGTCTGAAATATTTTTGTTGCCATAAAAAATATGAACATGTTACTTGCCCCAAAATCAGTGAGGGTGTTGATTTTCTGCCAGTTGCCAGACCTAAGTGAGTTATTGTCTCTATCATTTAGCACCAGGTGGCCATTTCTGCCATTTCTCCACTCTGTTTGGAATAATACCAAAGAAAAGTGCTTGAAGCAGTAAACAAATAAAAAAAAAGAAAACAATTCGAAGAATCAACTAATACTACACTCAACATTACCTACCTGTAAGTTGATTTTGCATAAGTTGAAAATTTGCCAATGATAAATTTATTTCCAAGCCACTTTTTTTTCTGTATTTTTAATGATAAATAGTTGCTATAATTCAAATTTCTAATTTTAGGTTTTAGGACTGAAATTTATACACCAAAAATTGACTTAAACTATGGTAAAACTATCCCCTGCTGGTAATTTTGAGTCAATGTTTCAGCACTGGAATTGTATAAATATTTGTACAGTATTCATCACGACACACTAAGGCTGATTACTCACTGTGGCGTTCTACAGTCTTAGGACCTCTGCACGACAACTTAAACTTTGCTCCCTGTGAGGAAATGCTATAATACGTTACGCTGTCAGTGGCAGTCTGAATGAATCATCATTAACGATTTGTTTCGTGCATGTTGTGGCGTTTCTTTCCCCATAAAATCGCATCAACTGACGAACATGGGGCGCAGCAAGTGGCCAGCTTAACACATTATACATACCGAGATCCAATTCGTCGATCTTTGGTCGGGCTGAGAAGGGACGATTCTTGTACATTCCGTCAAGGAGCTTTGTCTTTACCTGTGAGATACTATCGCAGGTGAGCACTGTCACTTCAATCTGTTCCCCATCTTCATCATTCAGCAATACCACTAGAGACTAAAATAAAAAATAATTATCATATATAATAGTTCATCTTATTGTGTTCACACAAGCTAAACGTGTATTGTCATTATATAACAATCATGTTTGTCAGCATATCTTCACCCAAGTCCTGTATCATCTTTAATAAGAGAAAGTTTTGTTTCATCATGATGTTGGTGTATTTATTGACCATATATTATCATTTTGAAAACATGCTTTGTTCTATTTGGAGAAATGTTCGAAATATTAATAGAGTACTATTGCGTTATTTTTAGTTCTGCCTCCCATTCTCAGTTAAATCGTATTGACAAAATTTATTTTCAGTTCAACAAATCCTTTGTCAACTGTTTTGGGTACTCCTGTGGTCACTTGCTGCCCACTGATAAATATTTTTGTTATATATGTTATTTTTGTATAGATATGTTTAATTCACACTACAGTTCTAATTTTGTTCATATGTTTGGTCTTCATGTTAATTGTAGAGTGTTACGGTCTTTGCATGTTTTCGATGTTCCTTTCAGTCGTGTTTGTGTTTGTAAACAAAGTTCTATTTCTAGGTTACCTTCTTCTTACAACCATATTGTTTCTGAAATTAGTAAAATTAGTAACACTGATATCTTTTTAAATAGTTTTAAACATTTTCGATCTCCCATTTTAAAACATATCCAGGTTTAAGAAGCCTTTGTAACTGTGTTTTGTTTCTTGTTTCTTTGTTTTTTCGGTGGGGCAGGAGTTAGGAATGTCCATCCTGTAGGTGGGAATTTATCGCTTTTGGTTTGGAAATAAATAAATCATCTCAATAATTTAGTGATGATGGTTACTTACAATTTCTTCTCCTTCAATTCCGGAAGGTAAAATATGATCAATGCTGAGGGAATGAGTGGAAAAATTGGTAACAGCATCCACTGGTCCCATCTGGATCCGGCACTTGATGGCCTGGTACAGCAGATAGAGTGGGAACGCAGCATGAAACTAAGAGTACAAAAAATGTAATTTAATTTTTCATAACATGCCATCTTAAATTTTAAAATTTTGTATCGACAGACAGAATTAAAACTTAGATATCCAAGAGAAAAAAAATATATAGAGTATATCATAGTTCTTTGGTATAAGCCAACCCTCCACCCCCTTGAATACAAAAAAAAAAGACCGATAACTACTTAACTAAAGCTTTTTTTTTAATGCATAGTGATCTGTGTATAATTGTTTGTTATAAACAGCAGGGTGGACAACTTACCTTTAGATAGTTGTACATAGACAAAGCAATCCAATTGGACAAAAGCTTCTCTGTCACTGTCTCATTCCTGTCAAATTAAGTAATTTCATTTATCATTGGTATTAATAATTTCACCAATTAGATGTTTGATATAAATAAAAAAATGAACAATGGTTCTGCACTTATTTTATTAACAAAATATTGGCGTGGCCGCTTTCCATGACCGTTTCCCATCATAGGCCCTACATCGTAAATAAAAGTTTATAAAAGATATGCTTGTGTAGTCATTGTGTTATTAAAACTCTGTTTCTCAAAATGTTTCATTACACACAGAGTATACTCTAAGGCCGAGGGGATTTCCAAACGGCGCTTAGCGAAAAAAATCATGCTTGGTGCGGCGCTTATTCAAGAATTTACGGTATGCTTCATACACGGGCTGATCGACATTCATCTTCTCTTCTTTCCTATCAGTATGTAGAGTTCCTAACCGTGCTCTAGATAGATTGTACATTACCATCTTGTCCCTCTAGCTAAAACAAAAAAGAAGCAGCGATAGAATTTACAGTATACACATGCACACAATGGCTTCCACCAGTTCAGTCTTGCTAAGAACTATTATAGGGCACTGCAGTATCACATACCTGATCAGCACTTGCTTAGCCTTCTTTGAATACATATGATCTTCAATATACTCCTTTAGAAGGATCTCCAGGATGCTGTAATCAATCAATTGATCATGAAATATGTGACATGGTATTCAATAAGATGACTGAACAATTTATATAAGCACTTCATGTATTTCCCTCCCTCAAGTATGCATAGTGTATATCTACTACATTTGTACAAGACATCACATTTTAGCAGTCTTTTTTGAGGTTAGTTTAATGAATAAATGGTTGTTTATTCTGTGTCAGTAATCATTTGGGACCCTAAATACTTTTAAACAAGACTCTTTATGCAGCTAAGGGAGAAGGGAGCTAATCATGTGACCCCAATGCTTTCTATTTTAGTATCTTTATAATTTTTATTCAAGTATCTTTATGAGGCTTTGGAAAAAAAGCTTTTCTCACATCGGAGAAGGCCAAGCCACCCCCCTCCCCTTTCCCATGATGACTCATCAGACAAAAAAGGATTCATTTTTTGTTTACTTCTTAAAAAGTAAATCATCTAAAATGCCACTTACTCAGTTAAATATTCCAACTTATTCTCCACAATCATTGCAACAGTTAGTAATGATGCAAAATTACCTCTGCAAATGTAGACATAAAAAAAATGTTAAGAAAAAAACAGATCCAACATAAAAGAAGTATACAGATGTAAATTACATAATAAGTAGCGCAACAGCCATGTGTAATATACTGTATGGCAGAGTTGATAGAGCGGTTGAGGCAAGTACACTGCAAACTTCAGCCATAATATTGGCATTGGTCCGAGTGGCAGCCTCGCCTAGTTGTTTGGTGATAAGGGACTAAAAACCGTAGGTCTAGTGTAACAATCGGCTTGTGTACACTTTGAGAAATTCAATATAGATTGATTGAGAGTTTTTTTCCAGATTTTATCACATGTTTTGTTCATAGTCTACATTCTCAGTCTTACTTTTCACGGATTGTGATTTGATCATTGTTGTTTATCATCCGTATGAATGCCAGTAGAAACTGCCTGTCCATCAAGAGCTTTGAGAATTTGAGAAGTGCAGTGTTTTCCCTCTGGTCTTCATCCTAATATAAGAAAAAATATAGTACATAAAAACTAATTCAAAGATATGATACAAGTGGAGTGGTAGTTTATGAGTAAAATACTTAGGCCCCTCCCACTAGGGTCTTTTCCAGCATACGAGTTAGAAGAGTTTGCCAAGTTACTAACTCAGCTATCTGGGAAAAAACTTGTAGGATGATTCGGGAAGCTCGGAGGGAACTCGTACCTACTCAATTCAGCTCTGAACTCTAATAATTTTGAACAGCTTCAAAATCAGTGCTATGAGTTGACAACTCATAGCAAATTTGAAGGACTTGCAGGTAACTTGTAGAGTACTCTGGGTACTCCAACCTATATCGTACACTACTTGAGATACTCGTTGGCGGTTTTGCAATCCACAAGTTTGATGTGAGCACCCCGAAATGAGTACAAGTTAAGTACGAGCACACCGAGTTGGTTACAATCACCAGGAACATTTGGTCCGAATTCTCGTACCTAACTCACATCTAATTCGATAGAAACTCATTATGCTCGTAATAATCTCGTAAATCTCGTAGTGAACTTGATGATTCGCTCAGCATAATTCAAATATAACTCGTAACCAACTCTGTAAGGTCGTACCTCTCTCGTAGCTAACACGTAGTAAGCTTGTATAGAGGTCCTTTCCCAAGTAATTTACGACTTTCACAAGTTTTTAACTCATAGAACTCATGCGACTCTTGGATGAAATAAACCTTGGTGGGAGAAGGGATTTAGATGAATACAGTAAAGTTTTTCCGCAGAATTTCCTTTAAAAAAATAATGGAATTGTCCCTGTTGTAATCAATACATCGGTGGTATGTATGGTTTCGGCCTGAGGGTGTGGAAATTGAGAATGTGGAACTACATCCCTATCCCAATGAAAATTTAATGGCCATTTCTAGTGTTTTTAACCCCTGCAGTGGGACCAATTTTCCCCATCGGGAGATGGTGCATCAGCATAATACCAGCCTACACCATCTGTATAATTATCTATATTTGAATTAAACTTGGGACCAGTCAGTTCATCCAGGTACATATTCATGTAATACACTGCATAGGGTTAAATATCTAATGGCAAACTGCACCTACCCTCTCATCAATTTCGACGGAATCGGGTATAACTTCAAAACCTGTGAACAACATGCTGCATGCATAATCACGGTGACTAAGGAAAGGCATTCCAACGCCCTTCAAGTCTTCAGTAAGATCCGTTAGCCCCAGTGTTAGGTCTGCTATGGCTGCAATTAATAAACCAAATAGCTTTTGATGAATGTAAATTAGGAAAATATAACAAAACACTAATGATCAAATTAAACAAAAACAGAAATTATTAAATTAAAAAAAAGCACATGTCAGATGCAATGAGTGGATTTGGCTCACAATGCAAACAATATCAAACATGTTAGAAATTTTGCATCCTTCCTCAGCAACAACCATTAACAAAACTCACTATTAAGAAATGTAGCTGATTTATTCTTCAGGAATTTTTTTCTTGCATTAATCTAAACTTTGTATAATATTTTCCACACAGTGTATGATATGCAACTATTCTAATTGCTTAATAGTGTATATATACTTTAAATATCTGCTGTGGGTGTTTTGCAGCCTGGACATTTTGTAACCAAAGCATAAGCATTTAAGGTCTCAAAGTGTCCGGGTTGCCAGATATCCGTGGTAAAGTCGAAGGGGGCCTGGGTTTCTGGAGGTGTCCTGGTCACTAAATGTCAACATTCCTATATATTAAAAATTATTTTGTATAATAAATGTATTTTTATGTTTAATTTGTACAGTTGTTAATGGTAGCCTTTAGATACTGTTTCGTTTACGCGCTTTCCAATTTGTTAATTTTTTGGTTCTTTCCTACACCGACTTGCCGAAAACAGGTCTTCCTGTGTTAAAATAAAGCTAATTATTTTAATATTATTAAGAAAGAAAATATTAAGCATGATTTTTGTATGCTGAAGTCCATTAATTCCACATTTCAATTGATACTTGTTTATGTTTGACCTGTTTGCTACATCGCTACATGCTCGCCGACAGCTTTCGGTGATGCTGACTGATTGGCCATATCGTCAGGGACTACTACGCTAGTGCATCGATTGCAATTCAATTCAATTCAAATGTATTTGAGCATAATTCAACACATTACAAATAACAAAACAATGAACAATAAAAAGATAATTTAGTAAAACATATACAGCTCAAGATAACCCAAAAAAACCGAATCGGTTTATTTCCGTTGGGGTCCCTTAAATGAAAAAAAATACCTAAAAGTTGGTTAAAAACTAAAACAAACATTGAAAATTTAAAACAACCTTTAAAATTTCTAATAAAAGTAAAACTAATAAAAGAAATAAAACCCATTAAAAGTATGTAAAAGTGAATGTTAAAAAACAGGTAAAAAACAATAAAAACTCTCGTTAAACCTTAAAAGACGTAAAAGTGTAAGTAAAAAAGCAGGTAAAAAGTGGTAGGTATAAGATTTCACAAAATATTATGTTTATGTTTAAAGAATATTTATATGTTATACAGTAAAAAACTTTCGCGATAGTGTAGCTATTTTAAGGAAACCATGCTTTAAATTGCAGCCAAGCCAGGTTGATAGTGACTGGTTTCTTTTGATTTGTTCTACATTTGTCAGTCACTGGTTAGCTTGTTTTATAGATAGTTTAGTTCAAAAAAGGTGTCAGTGGTTTATACAGTACTTATTCTAGTTAAATTTGACTTAACAAATATATGGGACATGCACAAAAGCACTATGGGAGAACTTTCAGCCAATAGGTTGAATACAGTAACAAAAGATGACGTTGATGATGATGAATTTATTGACAAAAGCATATTATGTTGCATTAGCCAAATTTACACATGTGCACACTTGGGTTTATAGCACAGTAATATCCTAAATGTTCCTAATCATGAAATGGCCTCTAAACATTAAACGTTTTGCTAATACAAAAATTCAACATTTTAAATGCGTACCTTGTCTGGCCTCATCTTTAACAGTTTTTTCCAACTCGTCCATCTCAAGAAGAATGTTCTTCACCTCGTTTTTGATCTGGCTTGTTCTATACTTGTACCTGATAGCAATGATGCTGATGATGATGATGAAGACAAGTAGCGTGCAGATAATGATCAACATGACAATGTAATCAATGCCTGGGTACTTAATATCTCCAAAAACCTTGTGGATGTTGTTATGTTTTGCCTGTGAACATTAATGTTTGTATTGTATATACGTATATATATGTATCTTAAGGATCGTTGAAGCAAGAAAAAAAATCTGCGCAAGTTCTGTTATTTACCTGGAATTTAGATACTGTGCATTGCTTTAACAGGTGTCAAATGTAAAAAAACATCTAGAGCACAATTGCCTATTTTGAACATCGAATATTAGGGTAGATAGCTATGTAAGGTCGTGTGTGTTTGACCAAATGCCATCTTTACGACCATTAAAGATATGTTAATGGCTCTACCTTATTGTGATAAATTCAGCGCATGAAAACTGTACGCCAGACTAGGCCTACGTATGTTGTGTGTGCTCTCACTGTCTGCTCCCAACCAGGCATGAAGATGTCTGATATGGGCCACTGAGCAAATAAATAGAAATAAAATTTTATTTTCGGCCAATTAGCGCACCCCCACCACAAAAAAAAGGGTATTAAAAAAAAGTTTTTATTTATTTTAATCACGCCTGCCGCTGACTTGAAATCTCCAAAAATAAGATATGTATATTTCTTACTAATTATATATATTTAAAGCATTTAACCATCCCTTTAATATTACAGTTTACATTCATTAATAAATTTATATTTTCTCCTCCGTATGATGTTTTTGATACGATACTTCTTTATTTTCATTTTAACAACACGGTAAAAATTGAAATTAGTGTTGATTGATCTGATAGGCAAAAACAGATATAAATAATAATAATTAAAAAATAGATATTAAAAAATACATCCCTTGAGAGAATAATACTACTTGCTATTTTATTTTTATTTTTTTCCGCCCTCGTTTGACAATTTAAAAAAAAGTAAGTTCGCGAAACAAGGTTTAAAAAAAATTCCCACCCTATTCTAGGAACTCATTTATACTCCTTCTTCTAAAACATGCAAAATTGATTGAGGAATTTGAACCTTGACCTCAATTTTGAGCCCCCAAACCGCTACACATGTGTCAACTGCTCCCAAATTATGCCTAAACATTGTAATGGAATGAAATAGGAATGTAACTTACACTGACAAGGGTAGCATCATATTTTTCACTGGAAAGTTGCACTTTCACATGGGTCATTGCAATTTCTATTACTGTTAACTCAGTTTCTCCAATAAACACGCTTACATCTTCCACATCACTAGCCAGTGTTATGTCCAACCCCTGTATTACAGACAACACAAAGGACCAGTTATACAACAAAAGCAGAAAAAATTGTTCAGGCTTATTATATTAAAAACTTTAAAATAGTTTATATTTACATTAGAACCAATCCATCCTTACCTTATGAAATTGTTAGCATATAAAAGAAAAATTTAAAAATATATTTAGAAAAAAAAAACATTAAAAAAATTAAACAAAAAATAAAAACAAAAAATATATAAGATATAATAAAATATGTCTTACATATAAAAAAAAATATGTATCACTGTCTTTCAACAAATAGAAGCCATCATCATCTACAAAACTATTGTAAACAGATTTATCTGTGAAGTTGAAGTAGACCGGATTTGGGAAATAGGTCAAGCCAGCCGAGTTCAGCTCTAAACCATCCAAAATAAAGGTGACAGATAACTCATCTCCTTTAGTTGCCTGCCGTTTTCTCCGGGAAGAAGAATCACTAATTATTGGGGAATCACATATCATTGATGATGCTGTTTTATTTTTGCAATTCTGAGAAAGAGAAAAAAGTTAATGGATAGATGAAAGGTAAAACAGCATTATTGGCCAATTCAGGTTTAAAAAAAAACTTAGGCCTATATGAAGTATGTGGCTCCGATTTATATGTCTGATGCTACTTTACTTTGAGAAAAAGAAAGAACATATTGTTTTTTTGTCATCTTCATTTGGGTCCTGACTATAAACTCGATATTGCCACAATTAAAATAATATGTGAAATATAATATAAGGTAAGAAGTACTGAGGGTGGCAGCTCTCAATATTAAGAATCATTTTAATAAAAAAAATTACAGTAATTATTCTATAAACTGAATCTTAATATAGAAAAATTACTTACGCAATAAAAAAATTGATCTGACCCTTTAGTCACTCGCATCCTGGCATCCTGTACATACTGGAAATCAGAACCATAAACTGTTATGACACGGCCACCTCTACAAAAAGGACAGAAATCAGCTAAATAAATGTTAAGACTGTAGTAGCAGTGCCCCTGCCTTCAGAGATGTCCAAAAGAGGGGGGGGGGGGGGGGGGTCTCTTATACACATCTAGATGTGTATAAGAGACAGATGGTGCTCCTGGCACATTCCACCAGGAAATTTTTGTTTTCTTTTCAGAATTACTTCTGAGTTGTTTTGGGGAATAAATTATTATTTTTTTGTTTTTTAACTTTCTAAAAAGAAGGGGAATGGGGGGGCGGCCATCCACCCCTAGCCTGACCACTCGGCCACGACTCGCCCAAAAAATGCAGTAAAACTGGGTACACACTGTCTCAAATCACCTAATTTTGCAAGCTTGCGCACCCCACCCCCCACCTAATTGATCCCCAACTTCACCTTCATGCCCACTATATACTCCTAGATACACCACTGCCATGGAATCGAGTTGGTCCAACTGACACCACAGTGTATACCCAGCTTAACAAAATACCTTTCACAAAACGTTGTAGGGGCTTCGTTTTGCTAAAACGGAATCACTCATGCGTGACTGTCCTTCTGGCCGTCCTACATTATCTGCACACATCATAGATTTGGCCAAATTGCGACCTAGAATCCATGCGACGAGAACTTAACATTCTTGCATGCACAGAAGACTTTTAGTGAAGTCATTATGTTCAACATCCTACCGTCATCGTGCAATTGAAATCTCTAATATATTACCCACTGTCATTAGATCCCTAGGGGATAAGGGACCCTTCTGGAGTGCTAATCAATCTTAGAAAGAAAAGTAAATTCTTGCCGAGCCACTATAATAAATGTCAATGCACTATCATTTGTAAGTGTTCCACAGCAACAACAATTTTTATTTGAAATCACTTGGTTGCTAAACCATCATTTACAGTAGATACCACATAAAAAACAAAGTGATTTAAAATAAAAACTAAAACTAAAAAACAATAAAAATTCAGCATGGACTTACGCATTGATGCTCTTTTTCGGGTTATAATCAAAGATCTTGGGATTTGCCCGGTAGCAGAACCTGTCAGGCACATGCTTCTCCACAAAACCAAATGTAACTGTTACTTCGTAACATGCATTCGTTTCATGAGCTCCAGTCTTACAAACAATGTGTGTTGAATTTTTGCTAAGGATTTGAAAAAAAAAACCAGAAAAGTGTGAATTTGCAGAATTTATGTATTTGTTCATGTGCTAATTCTCTCCTTCTATCATGGACAAATCACCACAAAATGAGTTTACGAGACTTATTTGATATCTTTAAAAAAATATATATTTGTCAAAAATATCAGTGTTCTGGTAAGTTTAATATTTAGATTTCACAATAGCAAAAGTCCTGAGTTGATTTACAAAGATTAGAAGTGTTACAGCACATTTTCAAAGGCCATACAGTACAGTTTACAGAATTGATAGGAAAACCAACACACACAATTTATTAGTTGTATATCTTTAGAGGTAATATTCTTTGAAGTATGATTCTGGACATCTGATTTTCAAAATGATCTTACTCCTGTTGTACTTAACGTAGTGTAGGGACATTATTCAAAGAACAAACTAAAGCCTATAATTTTATGAGTCTTGTGGTACTTTTGGTGACATACAGTATTTGTAAAGTAAACTTTGACAGCTACATCAGAAACAATCTGTTAAAGATTTTTACCTCCGAAAACAGTAAATTTATTGTTACTATACTAACAATCTCAAATAAGAAACAGTGGTGGCACCAGCAATTGGCAAAATGGGCCCGGCCATAGCCATTAGGGAGTCGTGGTAAAATCTGTTAGGGAAAATGAAACACGGTGGGTGTTGATGATGAATCACCTGTCGAGAAAAAGCTGGCACTCCCTGCTTATAAAGTATGGTGTGTGTCGTTGATCTTACCTTTCAACCCCACAAATGGAGGTGTTGATATAGACATTAATTGTTTCAAAATTAAGTTTTTCTCCTTTGATTATTACATCTGTTCCACCTGCCATGATACCCTCTGCTGGGCTTATAGATGACAATATTGGTCTCTGTGAACAATAGCAAGTCATAAATATTAAGGACAGCCTTCAACTGTCATATTTTATAATTAAATTCATAATTGCCAGACCTACCGCATATTTGTAAACAGGGTCTGTGCTATCATATTTATGCCATTATCACTGGTGTATATTATATCAAATATACTACCACCAACACATCGTCGTTGTCATCGTCCTCATTGTCAACATCATCAGCAAAGAATATACAACATTATTCCAAAGCTATACTTGAGAACTGGGTTAACAAAATGTCTCAAAAGTACAATGATCTATTTTTTAGCTTACCATTATTAAATTGCTGTTAACCAATATATGGGATACATTGACACATTCCACCAGGAAATTTTTTACAATTATCTGTTTCAGATGCACGAGTCATTAAGAGAATATATATTTTTGCAAAATAAAAACATTGAATTTCGAGATTTTTCTTGGTCAGTTAGGCATGAGCAATGTAAGACTGTTTTTGGCCTTTATCAATACCACCACCATCAAAATCAATATAATCATACATGAGAATATAAAAACCATTATCACACTCCCGTTTTTTGTTTTTTTTTTGTAATCACTGGGCGAAACTTTTTATACCTTGTTTCGCAAACTTATTTTTTGAAGATCATAAGGGGAGGGGGCAAAAAAAAATTTTTTAATTTTGCTTTCTTGCAAATGGTTTTGCCAAAAACATCAAGAAGGAGAAAATAAGAATAAAATGTTTTTGTTGAATGTAAACAGTGTAGTAATGATATGGTCAAATGCTTTAAATTTATATAATTAGGAAGAAATATACATATCTTATTTTTTGGAAATTTCAAGGCAGCGGCGGGCATAATAAAAATAAAGGAAACCTTTCATTGTCTTCTGAAATTTCCATATATTTGAAATCATCTTGGCAGTAGGTTTGCAAACCAAGGTATAAAAAATCTTGCCTTATCTTAATTAGAATGAGTAACATTACTTGATAATTTAACGGTATGTCAAAAACGACTGTTGACTGTCCAGCTACCGTTACGTTCACCCACTGCTGGCCTTCGTTAGCAAAAGCTGGAGCACAACACGAAACACTACAATAAAACAAAACAATATTTAAAATATTTTGTACAGATAATGTTCACAAAAATACATTATAAAAAAAAATTTCCTAATCAATTCGTTAGCATATATACTTATACTGTGACCTAAAAAGTAACCCTCTGTTAAATATAACTTAGAATACTTAACAAGTATCGATGATCTATCTATAAATGCGTAATGAGTTGAGCCATGCTGAATGGAAAGATGAAGTTGATGTACAGTGAGTACACAATGTTATGTCCATGAGTATATTCCTTCATTTGATGTCAGATACATTTTACAATACAACATTTGTTGGAGAAGTAAAGATAAAAATTAAACACAAATTTACATATCTAGAAAGAAATCCGAAGTTTTAGCTTTTAGAACAATAAAAATAAATTAATCATATGTTCATATATCTGGGGTATTACAAGGGGCTACCAATACTTCATCTGGCTTTATTCCCATTTTAAGTCGGGTCGCTGCAGCTGTCCTCCAATTAGTCCTGTGTTGATTGTTGGGGATGCTCTGGCCTTGGTCCTTTTCTTTACGATCCACATCATCATATAGTGTAGCAAAAGTTTTACAGCTGGATGCCCCCACCAACTGGATGAACATCTTGAATTACCACCCAATCCAAGGAGCTCTTAAGTCAGATTTTGTTCTAAATTTTGACAGGAGGTCCAGCACCTCCTCTTCACCCTAGGGCAGTTGCCCTGGATCAGTTGCCAATTGCACCAGATTACATGGCGACCAGTCTTATGACCCACCTTAATCTGACCTTATCGCAGTGAAACATTTTTTTTTTTTTTTGCATGCTTATCATACTGCATCATTTATAAGTTTGATGGAAGTCATTCGTTGTTTGTCATTGTTTCCCATGAAGCTGAGTCAAATTCACGCTTGAATAAAACATGGTTATTGAAAGAAACACCCTTGTTTTCGTTTTCTTCATTCATGAAGGTTGAATACAGTAGTGTACAAAAAATTGGAATTTTATAATGGTGAATGAGTATGACAAGTGTGGCAGTGTTTGGCACTTTATTATTAAACAAGCTATAACTAAACCAGGCAAGCTGATGAGGCCTCAAATGTAGTAAATATTTTTAAAAAGTAACAATCAATAGGTAATTTTCACTGTGATCAAAACAAGTTTATGTATCATGTTGGTCCCTGGCGTGATTGGCAGAGGCTGAAGTAAAATTATTGCAGAACGTTTCCTTATATCACATTCCAGTAAAAATTTTATAAAATCATGTGCCAGTATTGTATCTCATGACTATACAGTAGTTTAGTAGGGGACCTAAATAGTAACTATAATCACCTACATTTTTCTTAAGATGATACATAAAATCTTTTTATTATCTGGTACACTTTTTAACATAAATTTTGATGCAAAACAAGAGAAATTTATTATTTCAATTGCACAATGATTCTTATTATCTTTGGTTCAAGGCCAGATAGTAGAGATACTACCACAATGTACTTGACATAAATCTTTCAGGATATCCTTAGTTTGAAGTAGATATTTCTCACATCAAAACCACAAATCTCATACAGTAATTAAAGTGGTAGTCACATTATGAAATATAAATCTATAAATTAAATATATGAAATTATTTGAATTAATTAAATCAGATAAATTAAATGTTATATATGAAATAAATATAATTACAACTTAATTAAATTATTACTATTAAACTTTAATAAAAGTAAATTAATTAAATCAAATAAATACATTAAATCATAAAATCATTTAAATAAAAGTAATAAAGTGGTTATGTCAAAAGCCAATGTAATATATTCTCACTTATACAGTTAATTTTAGATATTCAAGAATGGAAGAACTGTCATACCACAGACCAAAAACCTTATAGTACAATAGCGCACCTAAATAAATTAAATTAATCAAATCAATTTAAATCACTCATATAAATTTAATTAATCATATCAAATAAATAAATGAAATCATAAGATCATTAAAATAAAAGTAATAAATATGTTGTCACAAGCCAATGTGATATATTCTTATGTATACAGTCAATTTCAAATATTGAAGAATGGAAGAACTGTCATACCACAGAGCAAAAATTTAATTAATCACATTAGTCACAAGACTACCACTTATAACAACATAAATATACTTTCTGATTCTCATTTAGTACTAAACTAATATTAAGATTGTTATGAGAATGGCATTTAAATTAGGCACACCGATAAAAACCATAGATTTACAAATATAAAATTAAAAAATCACACTTTAAACAACATGATGACCGGTTAAAAGGGTTAAAGGTTCACTAACCTACGTCCCACTACAAAGCTCTCATTAATAATTTTGCATGGCTTCCCACCGACGTCAATCTCAACCTCATTAACATATTTCCCAAGATCTGTACCATTCAACTGGATATGATCAACGTCCTCAACATCTGAGGATGTGGCTAAAACATTCGGAACAATCTATAGGATTTGTACAAAAAAAAAACCAAGTAGTAAAATAATAATTATGATATTTCAGCCAGGGAAGGTTCCAGCAGAGGAAGGGACAGGGGCTTAAGCCACCTGTCGCAGAGGCCAAGCCAACACGCCTTTACCATTGGCAAAGGCTTCTCCTCTGGCCTCTGTAGGGAATTTTAAGACTGTTGGGACAACTTTGCTCCCTGCCACTGAATGTATACGCTACAACCAACTGGTCTCTAACAGATCAAGTGGTTCGAATGTTTTGATTGTTATTGTACGTTACTTATGTTGTGATTAAGTGTTGAAAATAAAAAATATGAATCAATGTAAGTTAATGATGTCACTTGATATAGTGAAATGTTGATATGTTAACAAAATGTAATTCATGTAATCATTTCATAAAATGTAATGCATCAAAACAGCTGACCTCGTTGACTACTGGGGCTGGACATGAACTTGGTATGTCTGCTTCAACACAATCCGAGGCATAAACACAACCGCCTCGGTTGCACCAGCTACAATTATAGACAGGTGGTGTGGAAAGACTAGACAAACATGTACTGCAATCAGGCTGACCTACTGAACACTTGTAAAGGGTTACTAGAAAAAAAGTAATAAAAGTTAATTTGTATTTATTGTTCACAAGAAGTCAAGTACAATGGATATATAAGATAATTACATAATTAATATGCATAAGAAATGCTTTAAAAACTTAATGTTTATAAAACCTGTCTTTATTTACAATATATATGAAGTGCTTCAAATTGATTACCAATATAGTTACTGATTATCAATTAAAATCAATATTGGTCAATATAAATGTATATCATTACCTATAAATTGATAATCTATATAGTTACTATTATTCCAAGCAACTTTCAGAGTTATGTTCTTCTCCTGCACTTCATCAGAATATTTGTACTAGAATTAGAAGAAAAAAAAACATAACATGAATGAGCATCGGAGCACAGTTCTATGTTCTTCACATAAAACAATGCGAGAAGATACTACGAAATTGAATGTAAAAGCTGTTTGTTTCTCATTTCATGCAAATATTAAATAAAATAAAAATACCATGGAACTGTTACATGTAATGCTGGAGTTACTATTCCTTGTAGCTTGGATTGGATTAGCTTCATCATCATCAACAACACAAATGTAATTGGTGACCTACAACATCAACAGAGACAATACCTTATATAAATTAGAGTTAATCAAGATCAATTATCCCAACCAAATGAATGCTCTGTCAATCAATCAATTACCAATTGACTAATCAATAAATCAATTAATCAATCTCTTGAATAATCAACCACTCAATTGACCAATCAAATAATCAATATATCAGTTTAATAACCAACTACCTAATCGATTGATTAATGATTCAATCCACCCAATCAATAATTCAACCACCCGAGACCTCTACCAGTCAATCAATAAAATAATATATTTGATCAAATCAATAATTAATCAATCAATCACTTGACAACCTGTTGGTTAATAAATCAATTTAAATATATAAACACAACGTCTACATACTATTGGCAGATGACTGGCTTCAATTACAATCTCCTTACTTTTCCCAGAATGCAGTAGTGGATATTTACTCTGAGGAACCAGCCGTGGACAGTCCTAAAAACCAAAAATTTTTGATTATATAAAACATAATGGAAACGATTTTCAATAAGAAACTTTTAAAACAACAAAATTTAATTCATTCAAAAGAAACCATTTCTGTTCATCACTGGATGAATGGCGAGTCAAATAGCCGAGCGGTTAATGGAGGGGTGCCGCAACCTACAGAAACAATATCGGCGCTGGTTCAGCACTCTCGTCTACAGTTCTAGAGGTGGAACAAGTCATCTTTGATAAGGAATATAAAGCTCATGTGCACTATAAAGAACCCAGTAAATCTTCTGATAAGTGGGGGTTACCCCTGTGTAC